GGTAAAATTTTCCTGCCGAAGCTGGTCGTAACCCGAAACGTTCGTTAGTAGAGGCGTTCGTATCCCGAGGTACCACTGTACCCACAAAAGGGCCACATCACCCTGGACACAGAGGTGCTCCTGCTCTCTGAAGATGCCGGTCACAGGTGCTGGCGAAACGTTAGGAAACAAAACTTCCAGAACACGGCCACACAGCCCGGAAGACCCACACCAGCCATCGTATGCCGGCCGTGAAAGCCTTCGACAATACAATAAAATAATCATTGTGGGACATGGTACAAGTATGGCCTGACAATATGTGCTCATTTTTGTGATATCTATCCATCCATCCATCCGTGCGTGCACACACACACACACCATGCAGTAGAATGTTATTATTAACAGTCTATAAGATTTTTCAGAGGAATTGAATCCATTGGTCCGCTGGTCTTCATCTGGAGCATAAGCTGATTTGAATTGCATTTACATGTTTTATCCATTGATGTTGGTACCTTATAATATTATGACCACAAGTTGGTAGAGGCAAAATAGAGGCAAAGAATTGATTTGAAATAAATCATCTCTAAAGTTTATTTATTATGCAAATATATATGGCTGCCCATTTTAACCAAATAACTCTGGGCAGCTGACAAGCATAAAAGCAGTAATGTCTATATGAAAATAATAGGAAAAAAAATAGTAAAAGACACTGGGTAAAAAAATCTTCTCCATCAACCAAGGCAAAAACACCATGTTATATATTTAATTACATCTAGGGACTGTCATTTTCAATTAACTATTAAAAATATACATACAGTGGCTCAGTGGCTAATGGAGTTTACATTCCATCAGTTGCCCACTTTCTTGCAAACAAGCTTGTTTTTTAAATTGCTTCTGCATAATCAAAAACAGGCTAGATTTTATTATAAATAAAAAATACATTGGATTGTATTCCCTCTTAATAATCTCCAGAAGAGTTTTGAACTGCTGGGATCTATTTATTAAATAGCTAAGAGTGTTTTGATTTCAAATGTTGATGTAAGCATATTTTTTTATCCTTTACCCAGTCAGTTAGTAGGAATGTCTGTGTATTTTGTAAACAGGCTGTTTTTTAGTTGAGTATTATTTACATTCGCATAGGCATCACTAGGGGGAAAAAAGAATAAGATATATTTGCTTGGCTCTTTAAAAGGGAATAACCACTAAAACAATGTTTTGATTATGGTGGTACTTTTATTTTAGGCTCTCAAGTGTTAATCAGTGTCCAGACTTGTTGGCCTATCTTCAGATCCATCCTATTATTAGGCAAGTGAAACAGCCACCCCTTTAAACAGCCAATATTGGTGACAAGAAAAAGAGGCTCCTATTATTGTTGTTGTATCTTTATTGCCAGAGTCTGAAAAGGTACTTGTGGGATTTTCTGCCTCATGGGCTGAAATAACACAGTCGGACTTGACTTCACTTGAGAGGGTAGAAAACACCATTTGTGGCTTTGTTTTGCTTCAGACGTTGAAATGTCTTGGAGTAAACTTGCACACTCTTGTGTTCCTGTCTTGCTTGTGAGCTTTCCCAGAGGCTTCTGGCAATCCACTGAGAGAAACAAAGTGCTGGATTAAGTGGACTTTTGGCCTTACATTCTTCCTGTAAGGAAGACCCAAACAGGAAGCCTATCCCAAGTCACGCTAAGATGAAAACACCTTCCCCAGTCATTTTAGGGAAGGGGGAAAGAAAGTTTTAAAACTGGGATGTAGGAGCTTTCCAGGAGACAAGGAGTAGCTGCCTTTCCCCCTTTTCCTTCTATTTTTAAGTCCTACTGTTCTTCCTCTGCAAGTGTTTCTATGGCTGCAGTGAGCAGCCTCCAGGGCTGAGGTATCATTCCAATTTGCTTGTTTGGACAGTGCTTTCTCATCTCCCTTCCCCTGTCCTACAGTTTGTTTTATGTGTTTGTATGTGTGTCTGCCTGTGTAAATACACACGTATATTTAGAGCCCACTTTTCATTATAAGTAATCACAAAACACAATATAGTACCATATAGTAGTAATCCTAAAGCAGAATATGATATGATTGTAACCAGTAAAATTCAAAAAATTAAATTTGTACCAAATTACAAGGGTTAAGCCAGAAAACAGGATTATGACAATGGAGACACACTAAATGACACACTAGCATGGGGTCAGCCACATATTTAACTGATGCTGAAAACTAACTAGACTCAGTTCAACTGTGGCCAGGCAGGGAGGGACTTTATGATCATGACCCCTGTTTCCAGAACTGTTCTAGAATGATGTTGCATCGTATTGTGGTATCATTAAGACAAATGATATGGGCAAATATGGCCACCACCTACCCTGTGAAAGGGCAGTGAAATTTAAGAATTTTAAAAAAAGATAAAAGGGCATCTTTTGACTTCCAATCATATCCCTACCTTGTGAACATTTTAAAGGTATCTGACATAAAAGGGATGAGTAAAACATGTTTCTGTTGTACTTTGAACAGAACTTGGAGATTTTAAAAAAAAATAGATGAAGAGGAATTGATTTAACTAATCTGGTGGTGGTTGTGGTTGTTTTAGAATTTTAACCTCCTTGATATAACAAATACTTAGATGAGCAGGACATTGCTTTTTTACTGTTGACTTCACACTTTGATAGTTTTTGAATATGAGATATTTCTATTCATTTTTAAACTGAAAATATATCTATGGGCAAGCTGCAACTTCATGCCTAGCCTCTCTGCAATTCTGAACATTTAAAAAAAGTATGTATTGCATTTGGAAACAAATTGGTGCCTTTCTAATTTTGCATGTAGTGAGTGATATGGGCACAGCAAATACTCACAAGAGTTGGACTTTTTTTTTTTTTCAAATGAAAGCTGCAATTTTCAGAATTCCAGCAAGACTCTGTGGGTTAGAAATAATAGACAACTCTTGGAAGAACTCTCAATTTGCCTAATAAGTGTCTAAATTTTCAAATTTGCAAGCAGCTTTTTTGGAATCATAGTGATAGATTGCTCATGATATCTTTGAATTTTATACTGGGGTTTAAATATAAATGTTGGAAAGCAGAAGAGCAGAAATATGTATATGTCTTGTTCTGGCCAAAAGGGTTCAGTCTATGCTTTATCAAACTGATGGGTCAAAGATCAGATTATTCAGGTTCATGAAGGGAGCTGTCCAACAAGACCACTGTTGCTTCAGCAACAGCTAGTCTTCAGTAAAGACTTGAGTAAATATTAACAGCAATATTGCAACCCCACCCTTTCCTTGGGCACTGGG